TCACCCAATAAATAACTATATAAATAAACTTAAAAAAATAAAGAACAGAGAAACCTAAGTAAATGAACAACTTTCACAAACCAAGACCATTACCAACTCCAGGAAAAAGAGTTTCACAAGGAAGGAAATCTAATCATCATTACCATGGGGCTCAGTCATGAACAGTAGTTCCATTTTCAGACTAAGATGTACACTGAGTATTGATGTTACATATCTACTATGGGAAAGAGGAGAGTGGGGAAGAATGTAAAAGAACATGGAAGCTTTACAGTTTATTATGAGTATGATCCAATAGATACCATCTAAAATAAATAAATTAAGAATAATCCTCCAGTGGCAGGTGGAGCACAGGAGATTCGCAGGGCAGTGAAAGGACTCTGTGTGACACTATGATGGTGGACACAGGACGTTACAATCTGTGCAAACCCACAGGATGCACAACACCAAGGGTGGACCCTAATGCACACTATGGACTCTGGGTGATGACGATGAGTCAGTGCAGGCTCGCCCGCTGTGACAAATGCCCCACTCTGGTGGGGATGTGGGTAATGGAAGAGGCTGTGTGTACGGGGGCAGGAACTCCACACTTGCCACTCAATATCGCTGTGAACCTAAAACCACTCTAAAAATATAGTCCATTACAAATATTTGTATGGACTACATTAATTATAAATATTAGACTCTGTCAGGTCTAGATTTTAATCCTGAACTTCCTGTTCATTAAACATCTGCTCTTTGATATTACTTTTCATCTATAAAAAGGGGGAATAATTATAATCTTGACATGCAGTGAGGATTAAAAGAGATTATATGTGTGAATTGTAATAGTGATTAATCTCTTTATACATTACGTTCTTCCCAAAGAGATGGAGGTGGTTTACAGACATACATTTAACAGCGAGATAAATTTTTATTCAATTAAAGATAAGTAAGAAAGGGGGTGCCTGGGTGGCTCACTCGGTTAAGAGTCTGACTCTTGATTTTGGCTCAGGTCATGATCTCATGGTTCGTGGGTTTGAGCCCCAAGTCTGGCTCTTCTTGGAGCCCGCTTGGGATTCTCTCTCTGCGCCCCTCCCCCACTCTCTCAAAAATAAATCAATAAAAAAACCTTAAAAAATAAATAAGAAAACTAAGGGCAAGTCTGTCTGGAACCCAGGACATGTTCAGTTTTCTTTCTCCTGTGATGGCAGCAACACATTCGGGGTGAACTGCCTGAGTCTGTGTCCCACCACCTGCTGCCTCAGTGTGCCTGTGGTTAAGTCCAGCCCTCGCCCTGCAGCCTCTGCTTCTGCCGTGCTGTCACCTAGCCGATTAATTCAAGGAGGACTCCAAACCAGTGTCAGGGGCCCGTCCAGTTGTATTAAAAGGGTCCTGTCTACAAATGGATTTAGGGCATAATTGCACACAGAATATTCGAAAGACGGCCAAAGCCTAAACTATTCAATTTTCTAGTAGAACCTGGGCCCTCAGAATGCACAATACTTCCTAGGCAGGAAAGCTTATTAGCACCAGAATCACAAGGGTTGCGGCTTGAATGGTGCTCCCCAAGAAGATGTTGAAGTCCCGGGCCCCTGATGGGACCTCATTTGGATATGGGGTCCTCGCCGATGATCGAGTGAAGAAGACAGTGTTGGGGCGGCCCTAACCCGGGTGACCGCTGCCCGTGTGCCACGGGGAGATTGGACACATGGAGGAGGCCATGTGAAGGTGAAGGCAGAGATGGGTCATGTGTCCACAGCCAAGCCATGCCCACGACCGCCAGTGAACGCCTGGAAGCTGGGGAGGGGACCAGCATCTCTGTCCCAGACGCCCCGCTTACACACTGTGAGGCCACGGTCTCTGCTGTTCTCCACCCCTCAGCCTCTGGCATTCTGTGACGGTGGCCACAGAGGAGCCTAAGAGGGCTGGAGCGGAGGGTGGGGGGGGAATGCCGAGTGTCCGCAGGCAGTTCAGAAGTCTCTTCGCTTCAGAGAACCCCATACAAGCACAGGCAGAGAGTGTGGTGCTGGCTCCCAGTCCTCCAGGACCCCAGTCTCTGTGGTGCGGGGTGGCCTCTGTGGTTCAGGGGCAGCCTCCGTGGTTCAGGGCAGCCTCTGTGGTTCAGGGGTGGCCTCTGTGGTGCAGTGAGGCCTCCGTGGTTCAGGGGCAGCCTCTGTGGTTCAGGGGTGACCTCCACGGTGCAGGGGTGGCCTCCGTGGTTCAGGGGTGGCTTCCGTGGTTCAGGGGTGGCCTCCGAGTTGCCAGGGTGGCCTCAGTGGTGCAGTGAGACCTCTGTGGTACGGGCGTGGCCTCCGAGTCACAGGGAGGCCTCCCTGACTTTCTCACGTTTCCGTGGCTCCAGGGTGACCCGTCTGACTCCCTCTGCTTTGCATCCACTTGAGCTCTGGGTAACCCCTCATTCCTGATCATTTTCTTAACATTCTGTGTACTTTTTGGCCTGAATTATGTTCTCTCCTTGTTCCCATGTTCCAGTCACTGTAGTGAATCCATCGGGCCAAAGGATTTCAGTCATCTGTACTTCAAACACAATTCCAAGTTCATACCAGAGCCCTGGCTCCCACGGGCGAATCTGAGTACTTTTGTAGTGAGTATAGAAACCACTCACATCCCTGAACCGGCTGAAACAGACGCTGAGCCCAAAGCCTTTCATGTTTTGCTTGGACGTGGGTCCTACAAACCGCTGATCTGCATCCCACCGCCCTCCCACCCCTGAGGACCCCCGCTCACTGCCTCCCCAGGGACACAAACAAAACCAAAACAGGAAGTAAGATAACTTAAAATACCAAAGAGCTTTTGAAGAAAGTCAGTTAACGTACATGACGGACAGCTGCCTCTTCCAAGGGAGGCATTTGCTCCTATTTGCGTATATTTGATTTGAATACACGACAAATATAATTACTTGCAAGAACGAGAGTGGTGAATCACATGTTTTGGTTTCAGAGTAACGCTGAGGGCCCCGCCGATCCCGGGCTGTTTGAAGTTCCCCTTCACACCCTGAACTACCAGCCGCTTGGCCCTTTATCACACGGGATTAATACCACTGCTGCCCCTAGTGCTACCATCACGTCCATGTCCCTTGTCTGTTCCCCACAACACCCAGAATGGGGGATGACGCTCTGTCACCATGTGGCACATCTCGAGGAAAGAAAATCCTGCACTCAGAAAGGAGGCATGTGCGGGAATGGAATTGTTTATATTGGAGCCAATGAAATGAACAGAGAAGAATAAAAATCGAGCAAAGCAAAAATCTAGGGTGGCTCTGAACGCAGGCCTGCCCTGGCCAACGCCATCAGACTCAGCCTCTGTGGGGACAGTCGGGAGAGGGGGGCCTGGGGGGGCTCAGTCGGTTGAGCATCAGATTGTGGCTCAGGTGGCGATCTCGAGGTCCATGAGTTCGAGCCCCGTGTAGGGCTCTGTGCTGACAACTCAGAGCCTGGAGCCTGTTTGGAGTCTGTGTCTCCCTCTCTCTCTGCCCCTCCCTCACTCATGGTCTGTCTCTCTCTCACAAAAATAAACATTAAAAAAAATTTAAGAAACGGGGCGCCTGGGTGGCTCAACCGACTGACTTCGGCTCAGGTCATGATCTCACAGTTTGTGGGTTCGAGCCCCTTGTCGGGCTCTGTGCTGACGGCTCGGAGCCTGGAGCCTGCTTCGGATTCTGTGTCTCCTTTTCTCTCTGTCCCTCCCCTGCTCATGCTTTGTCTCACTCTGTTTCTCAAAAATAAATCAACGTAAAAAAAAAATTTTTTTTTTAATTTAAGAAAGAAAAGAAAGTTGGGAGAGATCCTGGGGCTGGAAGCATTTATACCAAAAGGGACACAAAGCTACTGACCATATTTTAGCAGGTCCTTAGCACACGGACTGACGTGTCTGTGTTTTATCACCTGTAATTCTCTCCGAGATGCATGGATTTAAATTTGGTTATGGTAATCTGAGTAAAATACTAACGTAAAAACTTTATTCTCGTTTAAACATAAATAAATCATTTACCTCTGTTCTCAAACCGAGGACCCTACTGGAAATGTATTCTCAGTTTTTTAAAAAAGGGAAATTTGGATCACAAGGGATATTATCACTTACTAATGGAATTTATAAAAAATTCTTAAAATAGTTAGACCACTGATTATCCAAAATGAATACATCATCTGTAGTAAGAATTGGCAGAAAAATAAGATTATATTTAAAGTTGCAGCTTAAATTAAATGATGCCTTTGTATTGATATAATAAAAGCAAAAATAATTTTACATCAATCTACGAGCTACCAATTCCATATCAATTTGAATTGTATGCATTTTTAGCGCCCTCTTAGCATTCCAGTAATTATTCAGAGTGCCCCAGGCCAAAAGACGTATCTAACGGTTCTGTTTGTTAAGTAGGTAAGTCTAAACAACTTAATAAACACGTATGTGCTGATAACTCAGTGACAATTTTTTAATTACATAAATTGTGTGAAAAAGTATTCACTTTCACTTTGCTCCCCCATCAGCCACGATTATTGATCAGCGGCCGTGTGTACAGTGTGCATATTGCACGCCTCTGCCAACGTGGGATCAGGTTGGACCCTGATACCTCCTTTCTGGGTCCGCTCCGAGTTTCCCATGCAAATTACTTTTGACACAGCAGCTGCTGAAAACCCAGTTTCACGAAGATAAGATGCCAGCAGAGGGATCTGGCCAGAAAGGAACGTTCAGATGGTGGACTACCTTGAAGCTGGGTGCACATGGCATCTGATCGAGTGGCCAGGATTCTTGTGTTCCCTTGGAGTGTAAACATCCTGAGCAGTCTCTCTGATTCTGCGGGGGCCCCCAGGGTGCCTCTGCTCACAGTGTGGGAAAGCACAGTAGGGACAGAGTTGGGACAGGGCACTGGGCCCATCCTGTCCCCAAGTACGGGTGCCCTGTGCCTCCCTCTGCACCGTCCGACACCCACCACTCTAATTATAGGAAGTACCTTCCCAGGTTTGTACATTTCAGACACACAAGCAGGTTACAGGTCAGATTCACACTGCCACAAGGATTGTTACGAAGAAGAGCGAGAAGGTGAGCATCTGGAGACAGTGCTGGCTGGGACTGGCCAGCTGCCAACCTATTTCCACGTCAGGGTCACCGCCGTGAGGCGGGTCCCCATAAGCTCTTTCCTAGGTTCCTTGCTAGTTGTATGATTAAAGCAGGAAGAGGTAATGTCCCCACTGTGTGACTCCTACCCGGAGGCTCCCAGTTCTGCCTTGCAGCCCCGGAGGTGACCGCCTCGTCCCTGCCATGCTTCCTTTTCGCCAGGTGCCTGGACCATCTCTGCACGCCGGGTGTGACTTTGCCCTGATGGTCCTGAGAGAACCCCTTGACCTTCACAGAACACGAAACAGCACAGCATGAAACCGCAAGGCACAACACTGCACAACGCAATACAACAGTCGTAACACCTCACTTGACTAGCAAACATTCCCTGCACCCCACTACCTGCCGAATCACAGAGCAGGTCTTGGGGAATTCGGAATTGAAATACAAGCCTCCACTGCCCCTCAGTCCCATTTTATGGGACATGGAGGTGAGAGAGCTTTACTCTTCCGGAGCCTCTGCTGCCTCAGCACCAGGCCACGGGAGGGCGTGTCCTGCTCTTCAGCCTCGATTTTGCGTTCTGTATCTCCCGAAGAACCACAAAAACAGCGTCCACAAAGACACTACTGCTCCCCGTGTCCTGAGATGTGGCAGGCACTACGCTGAGTCCCCGAGGGGCCTTCTCTCCTTCACCCCATCACACGTGACACTGGACCCTCCCCTGGGGATGCAGGGGGCCCCGGCTGAGGCCAGCCTTGCTCTCTCTGGTTCCTTGTCAGCAGCCTATACCCCTACGTGTGCCCTTCTGCATGGATTCACTTCGGTGAATGGCTGCTTTCCCCGTACGAGGTGCTCGGAACTCTGCTGATGGTGGGGAATCAAGCCAATCAGTTTCTGGTCTCCAGGAGCCTTGGTGATGTTGGGAGTGAGGCCTTCCATGTGGTCACTGCCAGGGGTGCACCTGCTCCCTCCAAAGCTGTTCTGGCCGGCGAAGACTTCACCTGCACGAGGCTGTTGGGGGCTCTCCTCTCTGGCAGGGTTTCAGGCAGAAGCATGCTGGTCTGGCCCCTTTCTGGACGTTAAGTTTAAATAAATCCCTAATGTGACGACTTCACCTTATAATGTTATTGTAAATGTTCTGGGTTTTTTTCCAAACCTGATTTCTTATAATCATAACTGTTTCAAATTCAGTTAAAACTTAATTTGTTCGTATTTATATTGAACTTGTAGCTTGTAGCTTGATTTTAAATGATCTATTTTTAATGCACATGCATAATTAACTCTGAGCTGTGATTTTAAATACAATTTTAGCGTTCTGCAAGTAGTGCCTACAGGTGATATATTTGTTTTGGGGAATAAAATATGGTTTAATTATCTCAAGGCTTTTATATAATTCCCCTTAGCAAGTGCATACTTTAGTTTGTTTTCCAAATTTCATAGTTCATATTTTAAAATTGAGAATACATTTCCAGTAGTATTCTAACTTTGAAAGACTAAAACAATTTTTTTTTTAATGATCAGGAAAGTTTTTTACATTAGTATCTTACTCAGATTATCATAACCAAATTTAAATCCGTGCATCTCGGAGAGAATTACAGGTGACATACTGACACGTAAGCCCATATGCTAAGGACCTACGGAAATACGGTCAGTAGCTTTGTGACCCTTTTGGTCGTAAATGCTGGCAGCCCCAGGACCTCTCCCAACTGTCCCCACAGAGGCTGAGTCTGATGGTGTTGGCCAGGAGCAATCCTGTGTTCAGAGCCACCCTAGATTTTTACTTTGCTCAATTTTTATTCTTCTCTCTTCATTTCATTGGCTCCAATATAAACAACTCCGCTCCCACACATGCCTCCTTTCCGAGTGCAGGATTTTCTTTCCTCTGGATTCGCCACGTGGTGACAGAGCATCCCCCGTTCTGGGTGTTGTGGGGAACAGACAAGGGACATGGACGTGATGGTAGCACTAGGGGCAGCAGTGGTATTAATCACATGTGATAATATTCAGAACGAGTCAGTTTAAGAAACTCCGCCCTCCCCACTATCTACAGGGGCCTGATTATCTGGCCTGACATTCTCATCCGTTAAAATTATGAATGATTTAGTCAACAAAGGCAAAGTCACTGTCTCCAAAAAGCTATAGTTAAAATGCATAGATTATTAGACTTCCTGAATGACACCTTGTGTCCTGAAATTACCTAAAACCCATACTGGAATTCTTAGATTATCAACACAGTTTTGGTTCTTTTTTATGGAACATTTTCTCTCATTATCTTGTATTTAAAATTTATTTTCTCACGTGCCATTCACATAGGTCACGATTTCTCCCACAACCACACCTTAATCCACATCTGTGTCTGTCAACAGCAGGAATGCGGTACTGTGATCGGCGGTAATAGGGACGTCCATAAAGCAGAACTGCGTGCTTTGTAGATGTAGCACTGCCCGTGTATACAGCTTACTTGTTCATACGGCAGCCCCTTGATGTGCACAAAGATGTTTAAAGTAGTGAATGGATAGGGGCGCCTGGGTGGCGCAGTCGGTTGAGCGTCCGACTTCAGCCAGGTCACGATCTCGCGCTCCGTGAGTTCGAGCCCCGCGTCGGGCTCTGGGCTGATGGCTCGGAGCCTGGAGCCTGTTTCCGATTCTGTGTCTCCCTCTCTCTCTCTGCCCCTCCCCCGTTCATGCTCTGTCTCTCTCTGGCCCAAAAATAAATAAACGTTGAAAAAAAAATTAAAAAAAAAATAAAGTAGCGAATGGATCAAGGTTTTTTAACAACAAAATATTCCCATTTCACAGATGACAGTATGGAGAAACTAATGATACCGCACTTTGTTATAATCATGACCTATCCAGTTAAGCCGATTTATCCCATCTCATGGGCACTATTAAATGTCCCTCCTTCCATGTCACGTGCCACTAAAATTAGTCTCAGCTAACTGACATGAATGCTTTGGCCCCTGAAAAGCAAAAGGCGAGTGCGTGGTATATGCTCTTGGTGTTTTCACGTTAACTGTGGTTCAGGAGCGGCAAAGTTCTTTACAGGCAGCCAGAACGATTTGTTGGAAAACGGAAAATAAAGGCAGTAAATCAGTCAGTCCTTCCTCCTTATGACATTCTAATAATCCAGCTTAAATTTTTTTCTTCTCTCGCTAATTCAATTTTTTTCAAAAGTCATGTAATTGAACAATTAAGTGAGAGCACTTTATAAGTAATAAATCGCTACTTGAATTTAAATGATCTAGACACAGCTTCAGCAGCTCTATTTATCATACAAATTCGGGGGCCTCTCCCCTGACACCGGTTTCCCAGTATCACGCAGGACCCGTCTCACCTCGTCGGGGTGCGCCTATGACGGTGCAGATCCCGGGTGTCACTGGAACCCCAGGCTTGGCCTGTCAGGGGCACGGGGTCTTTGATTCTGGATGTGAAGCAAGCTCGCCCGTGTCCTGTGCACGCTGAAGACGGGAGCCCGCTGCCAGAGTGAACCTCTGAGTCTACATCTTTGACAGCTCAGAGCCAATCTGCATTAGCAGTTCACTGAAAAAACAAAGCGGCTCTCGTGTATCCTCTGCTCAGATTTATGTGGCACTCTTCACTGGTGCGTACAGAAATGCAGTGCCTACGCCTCGTGTCAAGACTGGCGACAGGGAATGTTGGAGCAGCACCAGGATGTCCGGCTTCCATCTTTCACTTCCTCTGAGAAGCCTTCCCTGATTCCCCCAAATGGGGCACGAATGATCAGGCAGCGTGAAGCAGATACCTCTGCCCCCCAACTGTCGCCCTCAATAACGTACTCGTTCATGTGACAATGAGTCCCACCCACTGGGTAGTGAGCCCCAGCACCTGGCCACACACACACACACACACACACACACACACACACGTGCTCCTGTGATAACCTGGATGTACAATGTGCCCATAACTGGTATTTGTTGAACAGATGGATGAATGAATGAATAGGATGGTTGTCACGTAACTCTAAAGACGGGTTGTTATTAATATGAATATATCGGCGCATTGTATTGGCGCATACAATTAACAGTGCTCCCACTCAGGCCATATTTGGCATTGATGTCCCACTGTACCCCTGCCCGGCCGACACAGGCTTCTATGTCAAGTGACCACTTACTGACGGTCTACTCTTTGCTAGACGCAGCATGCTCCTTACATCATTAATCCTGACCATATTCTTATGAAGTGGGTTCTAGTATTTCTTTTTTGCATATGAGAAAATGGACTCAGAAGAAGGACACTTGATCAAGGGCAATGAGCTGACACATGCCAAGCCTGGATTCAACTGCAATCCTGTCTTCCTCCAAATCCTGTATTCTTTCCCATGTTGCTGTGCCACGGTTCAACAGACATTAGAAATACGACAAACACCATATTGACTAACTTTTCACCTAAATTCTTCCTTTTTTTTGAGCACACATCTGTCATTTCCCTGTAGGGTGAAAACGCAAATAGCCAATTTTTACAGGAATCAACTTCACTCTTCAGTTCGGTTTTGAACACAAAGAGCGAAGCTTCTGCGTCGATCTCTACGCGGAAATTCACGGTAAATTTACTGCTGAAGTTTGGGCTTTTCTATGTCCTGAAAATTCCCCCGATAGTTTGGATGACTTAAAAGCAAGAGGGTTCTAAATCCTTTTCCGGGTTAAAGGACGCTCGCCTGGCTCTCCTCCTATTCTGTTGCTTAGAAATAAAAAGACAAGTTGGCCTCTGCTTTGAATTTCTTCCTGCTGGTGTCGTGTTTGTGGTTGTGTCTACCTATCGGGTACCTTGCCCTACATTCTGGGATTCATCGTAGGAAGTCTTGGGTCAGTACTCCAGGCGGGTGAGACTCTTGTTTCCGTAGGTCTCAAGTGCGTAGGACGAACTGCGAGTGCTATATATAGCACTCTAGATATCGTCTCTAGTTAGCATTTCGGGGTGCTCAGAGAGAAAACAATGTCTGGGTGATACCTCTTGTCAGTTTCCCCATTGTCAGACCCAATCTTACATTCCTCCACGTTCACAATATTTCCCCATTGGGAACATGCCTGACATTGCAATTTCTCAAAACCGCAGCTCTGCAGTGAATGCCTAATTCCTGAAGCTGCAAAATCTAACAAAAGCTGATTTTTTCCACTGATTTGACTGGCTGACTATTTCGAGACTTCGCATGTGACCTGTTCTTGACAAACGTCTTTAATGTGCCCGCGTGGCTGCTCTGAAGTGGCTGCCGGCAATTAAAGCCTTGGAGCTGCCTGCCGGGCATCCAGAATTACTCTCAGAGTCCAGAGT